GAAACCCTGTCTCGAAAAACCAAGAAAAAAAAAAAAAAAAAAGATGTAAGAACTAGATAGCAAGAAGCCTGCCACGGCCATACAGTTTACAAGTAATATAAGTCTCTGTGTGTTTACTTGGATCTAAGCAGCTGCAGGCCTGGGCAGGATTGGAAAAACTTCAGCTACAAACTCCAGTATTTTTATGGTTTCTTTTAGCTCTGCACCATTGCTGATACACTTGTGAATTTATCTTTCATTTGCTTGTATGACTTTATAGTTTAAGGCATACTGCTTTCTACACAGAATTTCTCTAAGATTTTCCTGTAGAATTGAAATAAACAAATATTATGATATACATTCAATTAGCATTATTAACAGAAAGGATTTTGAGTTTTTTTGCTCAGTCTTTATCCATATTATTATAGTTAAGTAATACAGTTTTCTAGGCTCAATCTCTTATTCTTCCATGAAGTATGATCCTAATTAGTCTTATTAAATAAAACCCTGGAGGTATATATTAGTATAAATTCTTAAAGATTAGAAAAGCAGAGTAGCAGCTACTAGAGACTTCTTACCACTACAAAAATCTCAGACCAAATGGGGTGCTGAGATCCTGACTTTACAAGCCTTAGATTCCTGTCTCCATCTACCTAATGCTGGGATTAAAGTTGTGTCCCACAATTGCCTGGATATTTCTCTTTTAGGAGGAAGCAGGAGTATTAGGAGTTCATGGCCTTTCAAGTACAGGGATCAAAGGAGTCTGAAATCACTGCTTGTCCTCCAACAAGTTGCTAGCTCTGCCCTCTGATCTCCAGGCAAGCTTTATTTGTCAGAACACAATCAAAATATCATACAACATTTCTCCATTTTTGTCTAAATAAAAACCAAATATTAGGCTGGGCAGTGGTGGCACATGCCTTTAATTCCAGCACTCAGGAGGCAGAGCCAGGTGGATCTTCGTGGGTTCAAGGCCAGCCTGGTTTACAGAGCGAGATCCAGGAAAGGCACAAAGCTACACAGAGAAACCCTGTCTCAAAAAAACAAAAAAGCAAACAAACACACAACTATTTTAACTAACATAGAAAAAATATATACAATAAGTACAATAACTATATACCAACATATACAGGAAATAATTACATTAACAATGTCTAGTACATTAGAATTTGACAAATTCAGAGAAATTACTCCATTATCAATCCTATCTTGGTGGGTCCAAAGTGCTATATTTAATTCACTTTCTCTCTTAATGTGAATTACCAACCCAAAACTATCTTAATATGTCTTTCAACCTTATACATTTTATACCTTTTTTGTAGGTTTCTTTTCTGCATTTGTTAAAAAGGAAAACTATAACTATAACTTGTGGTGATATATTGTGTCCCCCAAAATATTGTGCACCATAATAAAGGTTATCTGAAGATCAGAGGAAAAACCAGCCACTATATTAAAGATATAAGAGAAGTCAGGCAATGGTGGCACATGTCTTTAATGCCAGCACTAACCTTAGAGGTCTGGAGCTCTGTACAGACAGACAGCAAGTAAGAAGGAAGTAAGATGCAGAACAGAAAGGCATATAGGCATGGGTATACAAGAAATAGGTCACTTTGGCTAAGGATATCCAAGTAGTAAGAATGTGACTGGCTTTTTTCTGCTTTTCTGATCTCTCAGTTTCTACAACAATATCTGTATCTGGGTTTTTTATTAATAAGACCACTTAGTAACTCATCTTACATCTGGTGTCCAACGTTTGTGGCAAGAATTCACTAAAAAGCCACTTGTGGCCTTACAGAACTCGGGCCTGAGCCAGCTTACACAGCTCCAGCCTGAGCTACATATGACCAGAGTCTCCACCCAACCTGGGATGAAGTCTCTTTGACTATTTGTTTCATGGTGGGTGGTGGGGTCTCTCTCTGGATTCCCATCTCAGATTGCTACCACACTATATAAGCTACCTTGAAACTCCTTCAGACTTCTACTGTTCTACTCAGTCCACAGACTTGGTGAGCCAATTAAGAATCTTAAAGGGAGAAATTAT